TATTTGAAAAATCTTGCTGACAAAATTTTAATCTTACTATAGTATACTGCTGACTAAGTTAACTTTGTAAAATCTGATAATTTATATTCTTAGGCACTTGTGCGTTGTTGCTGTAAGATTTGTACTTTAAATTTAATAATAATAACTTTTATAAGCTGTGCTATTGTCAACGCTCACTAAAAAGTAGAAATAATATTTTTGACGTTGTAAGATGTAAATAAGAAATATTGAAAATATTATTAATTTTTAGTAGGTAATAATTTTCTTAATAATATTTAATATTAATATTTAATCTTAAAGCACTTTTCGTTAGTGCATACACTTTGTGTACCAATGCCTTGCGATGCCCAGACAATGTAGTACGGTTGGCTGGTCGCCTTAAGACTAAAGTTTCTTTGTTTACCGACACACCCCTTAAATTGTGCCCTGCTCTACCCACTTAATTATTTAATGGAATAATGATGATTATAAAATATACTTGTTTTAAAATTGCGGCCGTTCCCACGTAGGTATTAGGACGCTGGTCACTAAACCTTATTTTTATTAACAGTCAACCAGTTAATTTATTAATGAGGTACATTCTAAGAAATTATAGGTTTATGTTTATACACCTACAGTAAGTATTAGGGCTGAAATGTAACACCTATAGGCACAAACCAGATTTTTTAATGGCATACGTACCTATCGTATCGTATCGTATTACGTTACTCTTAAATGTCAAGGAAATTGTGGTTATTTGTTTACAACCAATACAGCGTTATTAGAAACTTTAGTTTCTATAAAATTATGCCATTTAGTCGTAATTTTATTTCCCACAAAATGATTTGTGATTATCTGTTTCAACAAAAAAGAAAGTAATAATAAATTTTCTACTATTAGGTTTCGGCAAGTTAAAATAAAAATATTGCAATTAATAAACATTACTGTTTTATTTTAAAAATCTGATGAGCCGCTAACCGGACAAAAACAATGAACTACTTGACATACATTTAAAGATAATAACATGCCTTATTCTATTATACTATAGGCTTATAATCCTAATTATGAGAGATTTTTTTCTGCATTTTTATTACGAGTAATAGTGACATTGAAGTGCAATATTTAGTAATGAAGCATTGCCATTGGCATTGGCTTAAAGCCTCATTCAGAACCTCGTAATTATGTTTATAATGAGTATAAGAGACGTATAACCAGCCCCATTTTATCATCACTCCCGGACCCCGTGCAGGCCTATGTTTACTTACGCCGATTTTTGTTCGCCCCCAGCAACTGCACGCCTTCACCCGTGTTTGCTGGGTGCAAATGTCCATTGCGTTCCGTACTGTCCCCTATTTGGGGCTCGAGAGCGACATGCGAATAGTTTTAATAGCCATTCTCGGGTTCGCCGAGCCGATGCTATACGCCCAGTAGGGTATAGAGGAGGAGGGACGGGAGGGATGGACGTTTGTTGGTTTTTGGGGGACAATTACGCCGACTTAAAACTAAGTACGACGCGGAATCACCCTAGACCATTCGATTAGTATTACTCCAAACATTTGGAATTACTATTTGGAGTTGGGGAGTTGTTATTTCGCTGCAGGGGTGAAGTTTCCTAGTCGAGGTCTTCGTCTTGTTCGTTATTGTCATTGCCCGTGTCGTCAGTCTTGATGCCGAAAACCATCAATAGATAGTTCAGTAGCTGGATGTAACTTGTAGCTTTTGGTATTTTTTTTAATTGTTTATTGCCGCAGGAGTGCGAAATTTCTAACAATTTTTTTTTATTATTAGTTATTGTGTTCCCAAACACGTTTTGTGGTAGAGTTTTGTCTTTTTTTCTTAAATTCCAAAATTAAGTAATGCATTTATTTATTAGTTAAACAAATGACAAGCGCAATTATTCTGTTATCTAATGTTTACAAATCCAGTAGAGTTTGGTTATTATGCTTTTTTTACTATGTTAGGGTTATAATGATTAATGTGTTAGTTTATTCTGTGTGTCTAGTGTTTATTATTGGTCTCGTTTGGGTTTGCCTTATTTGTTGTTGACAGATTTATTGTTCTACGCATGCGTGCAGTGTGCCTTTCTTAGAGTTTTAAGATATCGTCGTGTTTAATTTGCAGATTATGTGTTAGGTCATGAATATGCTTAAGGATACTTATCAATTTTTTGCGGATGGCCACCTCCCTTCTTGATTGACCTCCTTTGTTTGTCCAGTGAAAAGCGTCCAATGACAGGTGGCACTTAACTCATTCATCACTTAACACTTATTGACCGTTGCTCCATTTTAGTTTAGTTTAGTTTAGTTTGCACTCTATGAAAATTGTTTGTTTCACTATAATTGGTTTGCACATTTTAAAAATTATTGTTGGTTTTAATCTTTAAACTTTTACGTTTCAAGAGCACTCGCTATCGCGTGGTGCCTTCTTAAGTGCTGGAACCTGACTGTGGCACATTCAGAACCTCGTAATTAGTGAAAAAAATTAAAAATTAACACAAAACGATCATTCACAATGCGCAAAAGGGTCATTCCACGTTACTCAGTAATTTTTGTCCCGCCCGTCACAATTAAAAATTGTGAGTAAAAACCACAAGTTATTAAATTATTATGTTATATTATTATTTTTATTGTGCTAATAAGCTTATTACAAGCATTACAAACAATATTTTAAAATATATTTAATATCGTGTGGTTTTTACTCACATTTTTTTATTGTGACGGGCGGGACAAAAATTACTGAGTAACGTGGAATGCCCCAAAATTAACATCTAAAATTAAGGGAATTTGTTAAAAGATTTTCCATTCTTCTAAACCTGACATAATAGTTATTTATGTATTAAGGGCATAATAAGGTTTTTATGGTCCGAGGCTAGAAAAGCGTCGTAGGATCATAAAAACCAGTTATGCCAGCAATGCATACAAAAATTTATGCACGATTAATATATTATTATTTTTAATATATTATTGTTTTTAAAGACGTTTACGTCAAAGAATTTTTGTTATAATTGTCATATTATAATGTCAACTAACATCAGTCAGTTTTAAAGTTTAAAGATGAATGAAATTGAGGAAGCAGCTAAAAAGGCAAAAAATTGCGGCCTGCTGCCGGAAAAATCAAAATCTTTATACGAAAAAACTTACTTCGAATATATCAAATGGTGTAACATTGTTGTTTTTAATTTTTGACGTTTCATTATAGCCTGCTGGGTCATAATAACGCCCGCGGGCTATAAAAAGACGTTTACGTCAAAGAATTTTTGTTATAATTGTCATATTATAATGTCATCGTGCATAAACAATATTAATTAATTATAGTAGAATAATATTTTTTACAACCATTACAATAATATTTATATAACCCACGGCGTTCTCTATAGGTATAGAGAACGCCGTATATAACCTTTTCTACCTTCACTGGCAAATCTTCAACTTTTTGCTTTTGACATAAAATATCTGCGCACGTGCGCAAAGGCGTTTTCCAATTATAATTAGTGGTAAAAGTTTGGAGTTTGCAAACTTTTTCCACTAATTGAAAAGTACTACCACTAATTTTTTAATTGTGAACAAACTTTTACGTTAATTTATTCCACTAATTACGAGGTTCTGAATGAGGCTTAAAGGTCCAGGCATCTCTTAAATATTTTTCATTATATTGTAAATATCGGAAAGAAAACTCTTAGCAACAAGTTCTTTATTTTTTTTATTTTTTTAATAGCACGAAATTGATAATATGTACTTAGTTTGGCAATCTTTTTAATTAGGTGCATGTACTTATGAAGCATTTATTTACACAAGTAAAAATTGTTTAAAAAACTAAAAATCTAGGTTACCTACATTAAATTAAATTAATAAAAGCAAAAATAAATTTGGAACATTTAACTTAAGATAACAAATATTGTAAATTTTAGACAAACATTTTAAACAAAAGCTAGGCTTGCAAAACACCCGTAAATGGCTAGGCATGCAAAATATATGGGGTTAAAAAAGGTTGTCGAAAAATTTACTAGGTATTAGAACTTCTCAAAATGTTATTATAGGGTAACGTTGTTCGTTGTGTAGGAAATATGTGTTTTTGAGGCAGTCTCTTGTTAATTCCATAATGTTGGCCGGTGGATGGTATTTTTGTTTGATGACATTTAGGGATTCTTCTATGGGTACGTTGGTGAAAAGTGTCACAACGTCGAAGCGTACTAGTAGCCAACCTAGCTTAACTTTTTCCTTTTTCAAAAACTCGATGAAGTGCACTGTTTAAAATATCTGCGGTGTAAAGAGTAATCTTAAAATGGTGTCAAAATCCAACACCAAGTGGTGTTAATATAACACCATGATTTATGGTTGAAAATGTTATATACAGCAAACACCAAAACGGTGTTTATCTAAAAATATTTGAGAAGTGCAAAGGCGGTGTGGATCACGTGATGTTCTTAAATCTCGCCTCTGTTGACTTACATGAAGAATATATAAGTTCAGGTAGTCCTTTGCTTTGGTGTGACACTACAAGTTGTTCGATACTAAAGAGACCTTAAATAGGTGGAAACAGCTGTCAATACTTGAAGTATTTTAAGTTAGTGGAACGCACTAAAAACATTATCTCTAGCGAGTTGAAGGTTCCATTTTCTGGAAAAATACCACTGGTAATATACTAGTACTGCGTCAAGGAACTTCCTGTTTTCTTTCCTTTTTTCTGTGTAGTATGATTTAGTTTGACCATAAACACATAATATTTAACAATGAAAAGGAGTTCAATTTACACCAGGTAAAATTTATTTTAATACTGTGTGAAAGTTAAATTAACACTATTTTAGTATTTGAATTAACACCGGTCCAACGAACCACATTTAACACCATTTTGGTTTGTATCGATATAGACCATGTATGGTGTTAAAATGGTCATGAAATTTTGAACAGTGTGGGTTGCATTTTTGACGTAGGATGCGGTTTCTTTGGTATGAGGTTGTAGCTGTTTAGCCAGGTATTTTGCCAGTTGCTGAAGGGGTGAACCAATTGAACTGACGATTGGCCTTAAGACTGCTTCTTGTTTATGTATTTTTGGAAGACCATAGAGTTTTGGACATCTAGATGATTTCTTCCTGGGTATGAGTTGTCTTTGGATGTCTTCGGCAATGGGACTCTCTTGTTTCTGGTAGTTTTCTCTAGATATGTAGTAGGATCCGTGGTGATGGGTTGGTAAGCCTGGTCTTGTAATAGTTCTTTTGTGTTGTAGTCACTTGTGTCCATCGCTACTGTTGCATTGCCCTTATCTGCAGGTAGCACAATGATGTCTTCGTGTTTTTCTTTACTTAATTCTTAATATATGTGAGACATCTTGGCGTATTATTTCGGCAGTGTTTTTTTCCAGTATTAAAATAGCTGTCTCGACTCCACAAATTATATCCTCGATAGGTAGGCGGCTAGGGGCTACTCTGTTTGTTTGTTGTTAAAGCCGTATTTGTTTCTATACGAAACTTATTTAGCCGAGTATTTAGCTGTTTGATGGTTTTCCATAATAATGGAAGGATGGTGTTGTTTAGTCGAAGATGTGTATATAGTAGAGATCTCCTTGTCGTGTCGTGAATGGATTCTCTGATTAAGGCAAAACTGGTTCTCTTATGTATGTTTCGTGTTTGTTGAGTATTTTTATGGAAGGCCTGCCTCATACTTTTTGGAATGATTTTCTCATCTCGGCAGAGCTGCAGGAATGTTAAATTACACAGCGTTAGCACTTGTTTATCCTGATCCAATTCAACTACATCGGTCCTTCACAGGATCAACAAGTGCTTACAAGTGGAAAACCAAGTACAGCATATATATATTATATATTATAAGTAACGTCATATTTATAATTTAGATTCTATGATTGTGTATATTTTTGTAAATTCATGCATTATTTGACAAAAATTGGCAGCCCTATGTAAACCACAGCGGTAAAGTGATTTTTCCAGGCTTTTACCCTGGAAAATGTCACACATCATTGCATACCATCTTTGATAACAGTGCTGCAACTTTATTAAAGCTTGCACCATACTCCCCAATGCTGAGTCAAATAGAAATAATTTAGTCTAAAGTAAAACAATGTCATTGCGCCTGGGCTGATAGAGCAACGTCTCCAATATGTAAAAGAGATTATGGACAGCACAAAAGACAGTATTACAGGCTGTAATTGTGCTCGTGTATAGCAGCACATTTCATCATGCAGCATTAATGCTGCATGATGATATGTCCGTTGTATGCAACCCACTGTCCCTGAAAAAATTGATGAATAACATTTGATTAAATCTGAAATACATTTGCTACTTTCTGAATTTCCATTTCAAGTTTCTGAAAATCAATTGTGTGATCTGAATTGCAATTGCTGCTTTCTAAAAATCAATTGTGATATCTGAATTACAATTGTCACTTTCTGAATATCAATTGTGTTATCTGAATTACAATTGCTACTTTCTTAAAATAAATTGGAATAGCTGAATTACAATTCCTACTTTCTGAATATCAACTGAAAAAGGTGTAGTATATTTATGGTATTGACCAATGATAATAATATGTGTATATTATCTTTGGTAATGACCATAGATAAAGGTAATTTGTCTACTCATATTATGAAATATCGCCGATAAAATACCTTACCGGTGCGTGATTGGTCGAAAGCGGCCATTGCAGCTAACCTCAAGCGTTTTACACTAACCAACAAAAATTACTGTTGTCAAAATTGGAAAAATAAAGGAATAATATATGTAACGTGGCAACTGATAAATGCTGTGAGCTTGATCTTGTTTAGGATCGAGAAGATTGGAATATCCTGTATAGGTAATTATTACATTTACCAATAAAATGTAGAGATCAATCATCAATAAAAAAATTTTTGGCGCATTAGCCATTCTAACATCTTGTAACTGTGGGATTGTAATGAACTAACAGTATGTAACTATTTTATGTCCCAATTTAATATTCCAAAACACAGTAATAAAGCAATATAATTTTGTGTTAATTTATCGGTATCTTGATTGGAGCTTAAAATCTAAATTATCTGTTTAATAAAACATTAGTAGGCCCTTATTTGTTACACAGTAAGTACCTAATTTTGTTTTCCCAACATATCATTTACTTAAATCGTTCATGTTCCGCCTTTAGCAAAGAATGCAAATGATATTTGCCAATGCGTTTCAATGCATCAATGAAAATTAATACTATCGTCTTATGTTCACGCCAATACGGAAGTTTTGTAATTAATATCTTTTACAAAACGAAACCTTCTAGCATCGGCCTAATGCTGAATTAAACTGATGTGTCATTTGAAACGTGGGAAATGATTTTGCGGTGTAAGATTTAAAAAATCGAGTTTACTAGAACTACATAGATTATGATTAATGATGTCTCTCGTAAAAGTAAGTTAAACTGCGGGACGTTTGTTTTTTTTGAAATAATATCATAATATGATTTATATACTTACTCGTTCACTATAGTTAATACATTTGGTAGGGGTTAAAAACAGTGATGTTCCCCCTTTAAACATAAATAATACAGCAATCATAGCTGATAAATGTTACCAAATGAAACATTTTTAAGTTTTTAAGCTCTGTATCAATAAAATGTGTGTCACGCCTTATATATTAAAAATATTTAACTAAATTACTTAAAAAAAAAAAATAGAATTGATGATTTTATATTAACCCTGGGGGGGGCAAATTTCAATTTGTTTATATTTTGCTGGCAAGTAACATTTACATTTTATTTTTTATCTCAGTGTACTTTAACTTGGAATAATAAATTTTAACCCACGCACTATAGTTAACAAATTTTTTGTTGTAGTCTTTAACTTGTAGACCCGGAATTCAGAGACACCTTGTATAAACGAATACCAAATATTTATATAAATATCATGATATTTTCGAACCCTGTCCAGCGGTTTGGTCAAGGCTTTGATGAATCAGTCAGAACATGTAATTTTATATGTATGGATTAAAACATGTTTAGATACAGTAAAATGAGTAGTTTTTATTAAAAGAAACATTTACCCGTATAATATTTAAAGGGGTGGTTCAAATAATTTAGAATTGTTGATTTTGTTGACCAGTATAAATCATTGAAACTTTTCCTATACTTACTAAGATACCTACTAAGCACAGTTAGAGCTAATCCATATACGCAGGCAAAACATAAAAAATACAGTGCATGTCCTTTCAGCCGTTTCAGTTCGTGTCGCGCTGAAATATCTAATTTAGTTGGCGTTCTCAGCGTTCCGGGAATCGCTGAAACGGTGAAATTAATCGAAGAGTTACTGCAGTAAGTCCGTGAGACGTGATGACCTTGTGAACTTGCTACGACTTGATACTGCTGCTTCCTTGATGGATGTTGGTATCTTTGCAGATGGATCTTTGAGATTATAGAGATTTCGGTTTTTATGTTGTATAGCGGATAATTTTGAAATTTGTATTAAAAAGGCATATTTTCGAGGTAACGTTAAATAATTATGAAAAATGTACTCAATTAAAGAATATATTTAACAATCAATAAATCAATTGATTCTTGTTATATAAAAAAATATAGTGCTGAAAGAGGGTAATGCACAGTACAACTTACTATCGATTTTAATCCTTTAATCATTCTGGTAATTTATGTAGACCGAAGACATTTGTAAAAATTCACCTGTTATAAGACGCGTCACGACGGTTTAGCGTCGTAAATGTCTGAATGTAGCTGATGGAATATGTAGTAAGTGGTAAAAACTATCGTTTTTAATTGTTCTAAAAACTCTAAATATACTTATTAAGATTAAATATTAGATAAAAAGAATATTTTGTTGCAATTGCATTAATAACTAACTTAAAATTTGCATTTAATACCTTCAGACCCTGAAGTTCAGTAAACCTATTTTGAATTTTAATACATTTTTATTGGATTTACAAATAATGAAGTTTATAACGATATTCTTATAGTGCTAATTCTGGTTTTGAAAGAAAACCTTATCTGGACAAAATGTATGTTGTCAGAATAAAATTATAGGGTCCAAGTTTCCATAGTTTACCATTATACAGTAATTTTAAAGACATTATATAATTATAACCAATATATTGGTTATATTATATTATATATAAATCGGCACAATATCTTCGACAAATTTTCACAAAAAAAATTATAGTCAAGAAGAAAACAAAGAAAATTGAATCTGCAACCATTCATATTCTAGGGATTTTGTGTAGGTGTACAGTGTAAAACCACCCTCGTTAAATTTGCATTTTTCAACCGATTTTTGTAAACATTTTTTTTATAGATCTCTGAAAAAGAATTTAAACTCATATGTCACTTGTTTTCACGAATAAACTCTTGGCTATTTGTTTTTGGGGCAGTGGCGGCTCGTGGGTGTAAGGGAGGGTGAGGCTACATGATGTTAATTTTGTCTAAATACGAATAAATTTCCACGTCACCCGGAAGGTATTCTGCGAACCAAACCATTATAATAATGAAAAACTAATAACCCAAATTGCGAAACACAGAAACATAAATTCGTTTCTTAAAACTTAAGGTAAAATATAAATCTGCAACTTAAAAATTTATTTATATGGATGAATAAAAATATAAATACATATAAAACAAATAAAATATCAGAGCAGTCGGAATACCCACCCCCTGAACTTCAATTGTTTTTGACGCGGCCTAATAAAATACAATGCCAACAGAATAAGCTTTGTTTATAAATACTTCCGCATAGCCACTTATAGGTTTCATACCAAGATATTTGAAAAGTTCATCAATATTGCTTACCCTGCCTCCTATCGTTAAATATTGATGAAATTTTTGGCGTTGGACCACCGCCCAATATCTGTCTTTTTACAATTTCGTTTTTTCTTAAAAAAGGCGTTTTAATTATTAAAAAAATTAAGTCATGAACAGGATTCATTTAAAAAAAAAGAAGAAATATTTAACTAAAGAAAACTTATAGTTATCGTACTTTGCGACAAACTCGCTAGATATATATATTAATTAATATTCCGCAAGCATTTCTCTTATCACCGCTTTTGTTTAATTTCGTTCAGGATCTCTTGCCAGCATCGACAGACGCGTTTCGTTCTGTGGAACTCATCAGTGCCGTGTTGCTATAGGCTCGAGACCCAAACGAAAACTTTAATTCCTTTCCTTATATTGGAAAGGAATAGTTCAAAAGCGGTGAGAAGAGAATTTGCCTGCACAATGGTGCCATCTATCGTTTTTCAAAAAACTTACCGGTATTTTGAAAACCCAACCTTAATTAAAACTCAATACAACT